GCGCTTCCGAGCAGGGTGATCCTCATCCTCCTCATCACTGTCTGGGGATAAAAGGGACATCCTAAAGGGAAGTCTCCCCCAGCCCTCCTTCCAGCTCCTGGAGGCTCTGGAAGCAGGACTAGTCCCATCAGGGTTGCACACATCTCAACCTACCATACAAGAGCCCACGTCGCATGCGACCCAGGCCCCGGCCAGCCTCACGATCACGCTGCCGCATGGCCCGCTCTGCTGCCGCCCTCTGACTGGCTGTCAGCTCCTCTATATCTTCATCATCCAATGCCAGTCCATCAGCCTCATAGGTGTCTATCTCTGGGATGGCACGGTAGTCCCTGAAAGACCCCCAAATGGACCCTGTTAGTATTAAAAACATAAACAGAAACAAACACCCCAAACACAATCCAGGAAACAGACCTGTTCCAGAAGGCCCACAAGCCCTGGCCTGAGTAGGCCAAAAGAGACTCTAGGCCAGAAACACAGAAGGATCAAAAAGATCTACCAGGAAGGAAACATGCCGTAACATGGATGAACCTCAAGGACATTATGCTCAGTGAAAACCAATCACAAAAAGAAATAACCTATGAAATTTAGTCTGGTAAGTCAAGAAAATTCTGGAGATGGTGATGATGGTCATACAATGGTGTGAGTGTACTTACTATCACTGAACTGGACACTTAAAGATGGTTAAGATGAGAAATTTTATGGTATATGTATTTTTCCACAATAAAAAAGAAGAGGGGCTCCCCAGACAGCTTTAAGCAATTAATAAGAAAAAGGAATTGGAGGAACCACAACACCTTCACACAGAAAGGCCTTTCAGAGAACCAATCCAAGCTCACCCTCGGGAGGAATTCTCTCTCTCAGATAATGTTGCCTCAAACCCTTTCAAGTCCTGGGGAAGGTCTTTTGTTCACATCAGCCAAACCAGCCTCTTTGGTACTCCCTCCAACTGGCTCAAGTCTCTTAGTTTCTCTAAGACCACCAAGTACTCATTTTCAACAATGTCATCTATGAGCTATTATTTGAAGGGGAATGATGTCTTAACAAGGAACTCCCAGAAAGCAAGCCCTGCTCTCCCCTCCGAAATTCTGGAAAGTAAAATAGATATCATTGTTCTACTCAAAAGATGAGGAAATTGAGCATTAGAGGAAGATTTGACTTTTGCCAATGGGTGTGAAAATATAGCCGAAACACAAACTGCAAAGTTTTTACCCTGATACCACACTGCCTCCCTAAGATAATCCTCTTGAATTCTCCCCTTTTCTAGGTGAGTGATAATTAGAGGAACTGCTACTTTTTGGGTTTTCTGCTTGTGTTTTACTCTGTCAAACTACATTCTCAGAACAAGTAATCCTATACTGCTCATGCCAGAAACAGAAGCCAGAGATGGGCACATTTCCAAGCTCATCTGTTTCTGAATTCCTAAATTCTCAGGGAAAAGGTACCTGACTCTTCAAGAATTTTATGTCACATAAAATGTCCTCAGCAAAGTTCTAATCAGTTCATAAAAATTTGATAAATTGAACTTGATCAAAATTAAAAACTTCTGTGTTTCAAAATAAACTATCAAAAAAACAAAAAAGAGCCCTGGCTGGGGTGGCTCAGTGGATTGAGTGCCTGCCTAGGAATCAAAGGGTCATGGGATCAATTCTCAGTCAGGGCACATGCCTGGGTTGCAGGCCAGTTCCCCAATAGGGGGCGTGCAAGGCAACCACACGTTGATGTTTCTCTCCCTCCCTTCCCTTCTGTCTCAAAATAAATAAATCTTAAAAACAACAACAAAAAAGGCAAGACACAGATTGAGAAATATTTGCAAATCACGTATCTGATGAAAGACTTACATCCAGAATAAAAAATCTTAAAAATTATTACAACTCAAGACAGGTAAAAAATCTGAACAGACATTTCTCCAAAGAGGATATACATATGTCCAATAAGCACATGAAAAGATGTTCCACATCATTAAGCACCAGAGAAATGTAAATCAAAATCCCAATGAGACACTACATCACACACATTAAAATGGCTATTATCAAAACCCACAAAATAACAGGTGTTGGCAAGAATGTGGAGAAATGGGAACCCTCATACATCATGTCTGGCAATGTAAAATGCTGCAGCTCCTTTGGAAAACAGCCTGGCAGTACCTCAAAGGATTAACCAGAGTTAGCATACAACCCAGCAAATCCAACCCTTGGTATTTGCCGAAGAGAACTGAAAACACATGTCCACACAAAAACTTCACAGCAGCATTACTCATAAGTGACAAAAAGTGCAAAGAAGCCAAATGTCCACCATATGATCATGGAGTAAACAACATGGTCAGTCCATTCAACAGAATATTATTCAACCACAAAAAAGAATGAAGTACTGACACACTACAACAAGGATGGATCTTGTAAAACTAAGTAAAAGAAGCCTGTTGCAAAAGCCAGTCATGCATTATGATTTCATTTGTGTGAAATGGCCAGAATTGGCAAGTCTAAAGAAATGGATTATTGGCTGCCCAGGGATGGGGATGGGAACCAGGATTAAATGTAAACAGGCACAAAAGGATGAACATTTCCAGTACGGAAATGTTTTAAAACTGGGCTGTGGTAATGGTTGCCAAACTCAAGAAATTGACTAAAAAGCACTAAGTTGTATTCTTACAGATAAACTTTTGAATATATAAACTTTATAGCTCAGTAAACATGCATGTTAAAAAGCCCCAACAACAAAATCTAATTGGGTCCAGCTAGCTCAGATACCTCTATCCAGAAGCCCCTGCAAAGGGCCTTCCCTTTTGTTCTCTGAAGGGACGGAGAGATGGAAACAGAGGGTAGAGAATGGTAGGGAGGGGTATACTGCCTAAACAACTCCACAGCATACAGGGACCTGCCCAGGACTGATCTGTCCTTAGACTCCTCATTCCTTCCACAGTATGGAATGTACTGCACAACAGATCTGACTATCCAGGATGACAGAGCTTAAAGCAAAGATCCAAATGGTCTATAGCACAGTTGACAGTCCATGGGATGCCTCACAAAGGACACTCTCTGTTGACTGTGGAATGGCCTGTGCAGTCCTCTCACACATAGCAGTCCTGGAACTGAGTCCCAGGAAAGGCAGGCCCAAAAGGAGACTCTTCACGAGGCTCCTGGGCATTCACATAATTCTACTAATACACCTACCAAATATTTGTTGTAAATATGGGGTAAGGCAGCAGAAACATAACCTTGCTTCCTTGCAAAGCTTACTCCCATTGTCTTTGTACTGAGTACCCACAGTGTGCCACACTTTGCCTTGATAACCTTTAATATGTTCACATGTTATTGAGTGTGAAAGTATCTAACACATAGACTAGTATAGATTAGACACAATAAATGTTTGCTGAATTGATTCTAAATGTTGCTTAATCAGCACCTACCCCAAAATGGCAACATGATGTTCCTCTGAAGTTGCAGAAAAGCACTCAGCTGCCTGCTCCCTGTCCTTCCCAGCTGACTCTCTGATTTGGTCCACCACGTTACAGACCCCTTGTAGCCCCTGGGGCACACATCTCATGGAGTTGTATCCAAGACTGCACCCTGGCCTCAGGGTGCAGTCTTGGATACAGCAAGTTACATGGACCTATATTTTGGCCCCACGAATCTGTCTGTCTCCCCCCAGACCCAGAACCAAGGTGCTCTGATTTGTCTCCTTTGCCTGCACCCAAAGCCAGATCATTGATAATCAGTTCTCTACAAAACTGTTGACTGCAGGGCCTTGAATGAAAGTACCTCTCCATGCCATCTCCAATAAGTTCCTCTCCATCCTCCTCCTCCAGGGGCCCCTCTGTGCCTAGTAGTCCCTCAGACTCATCCTCAAATGGAGGAAGGTCATGGCCAGGGCTGGAGGTTAGGGCATCTGCCCTCCGGGAGCTTCGCCCAGGGCTGGAGGTGAGAGGATCATTGCTTTGCCGAGGGTGGGCAGGGCTGGAGGCCATGGTGAAGGACTCAGATGATTCCTGCAAGAGAAGACCAAGAAAGTGAGGGCTGATTTAGTTTTCTATAAGGCGGCCCTCCCCACCAGTTATCCTGTCCTCTACCACATCAAATTCCTTCCAGCCTCAAGACTTTGCACTTGCTATTCCCTCTACATGGAATGCTCTCCTCTGAGCTGTGCCAAGGGCTTAACACGCAGGAACCAGCTTGAATATCATTTCTTCAAACATCTGGTCACTCACAATACCCTGAGTTTTCTCCATGACAAGTCACTGAGGATGCCCCATTTGTTCATATATCTGTTTACTGTCTCTTTCTCCCTGTAAGCAAGCATTCCTACCCTTTTGAGCACCCACACTGTGCCAACCACCGTGATACAAGAGCAACCAAAACATTAAAGGTCTTGATGCTACAGATTGGTGGAAGGGTGAGATAGTAAATAAGACAAAAAGACAAAAAAATTACAGTAACAAGTGCACGAAGATGCGGGATCTTATTTGTCCTGTGTTACAGGTAGGGCCAAGCACACCGAGAGGGCCCAACCAGCATGTGCGTAGCGAATAAATCATAGTGGTAGTGTGGTCTGAGAGAGGCTTCAGGAGTCCAACGCTACCAAAATGGAGCGGGAGAGGCGACATCACCAGGCTTTGAATGGTGCGGTGCCCGCTGGCTTTGCAGACCCCAGAAGAAATAAGCTCCACACCAGAGCCCAGGGGCCGAGCCTCTGCCAAAGAATGGATCCCAGGCGGCGATGGGCAGGGCAAGAGCCCGGCAAGGCAAGGACGACAAGTGCGTAGCAACATTCCCTAACCCTCAGAGTTGCTGGCTGCTGGCGCAAGCCCCACGCCCCTGAACTCACCGCCATCTTACCGCCGCCTTCCTCTCCGGTACTACAGCCACAGCCAGTTTTCGCGCGAAAAGTGGCTCACGTGACCCTCCAACCCGGGAAGTGCGTGAAATAACGTAGCGACAGGACGTCGGCGTCCACCTGCGTCTCCGACGCAGGGGGCGGGCCAAAGCGTGGGGCCTCGCCCGCGACCCGGAAGGCATCGCCCACGACGTCTTGAGAGCTCCCGACCTCTGGTGCTTGGCTGCAAGTACTACCCTGACCGTCCTGACAAGCAGTTTGGGACCTGAAGGTGTCGGTGCGGGCAGTGAGGACCAGCCCCAAATGCTGCCTGCGTGACCAAGCCATTTTAAAGGTGAGGCAACTGAAGTTCAGAGCCTTGTTTCCCGATGCCTTACTGTCTTATGAGTGGACAGTCAGTTTCAGCTTTTCCAAAAGCTCTTAGGCTGAATACTTCAAGCACAGAAACGCTCAGAGAAGGAACTGTAGGAAGCCACTTCTGAGGTTACAGTAGGAGTTATCCTCACCGAGGGGAGTTAAAAATAGAGGGATGTTCTAGATTAAAGAACGACTTTTGTAAAGATGTAGAAAGCATGAATGGCACAGTGTGTATCTGTAAACAATTTCGTAGTTAAGGTTACACAGTTTGTGATGCCCAGGAAGGGATAATACTTGAGGTTGGAGAGCCCTGGTCTCGAAAAGATCTCCCAGATCTTTCTAGGGAGTTGCAGCTTTATCCTGAGGGCACCGGAGAACCACGGAAGAGTTTTGAGCAGGTGAGACGAAGGCCAATGTGGGTTTTAGGAGAATCCCACAGGCTGCCCCGTGTGGAGGTGGATTGAACCAGGTTGGAGGCCGTTGGTGTGGTCTTTCCTCTAGTTATAGGCAGCTCAGGCTAAGGTAGGTCCCTTGGTAAGCAGAGCAGGGCTAGGCCTCAGCCCTTTTGTTACTTTTGTGTGGTGAACAAGCATCTTTGGGTGGGACCCAGACCATGGGGCAGGAGGAATGTTGGGGACTGAAAATATCCAAGGGATATTTAGGATATGGAGTCTGTCAACCTTAGGGATTGAGGACAGCAAAAGGGAAATACCTTGGATGACACCAGGATTGTGGTTTAGGAGACTAGGCCGATGATGACACCACCTCAGATGCAGAATGCAGGAGGAAGACAAGTGAGTTTTGGGGGAAAGCAGATGAGTTTGTTTCTGGCAGTGGTAATTATGGGTCTTGCATGGAGATATCTGGGAGACCATTTGATAATTCATGTCTGGGACTTGAGAGGGAGTTTGGGCTGTAGCCGTAAATAGCCTTAGGAGAGGTTGGATAACCAGATAGTGTAGTGAAGAGAGAAGAAGGCTTAGGCCTAGAACCCAGGAAACCCTAAGTGTTAAGAGGCACCAACAGGATGGTGGGCAGGATTTGGGATACTGGGAACCACTGAGGGAGAAGCCAGAGGAGAGATGGTGGATGGGATTGTATTATTTATCTATTTAAGTGTAACAAATTATCTGGGAATCTAGCAGGTTAAAACAATTACTGCTTAGTATCTCAGTGGCTGTGGTCTGGATATGAGTTCGACTTGGCTGGTGCCTCTGCCTCAAGGTCACTCACAGGCTACACCCAGCTCAATTTAGGGTGGTCCTGCTTCTAAACTCCCTCATGTGGCAGGTTTCAGTTCCTCCTTGACTGTTTGGTGAGGACTCAGTTTCACACCGGCTCTTGGGTAGAGGCCATCTCAGTTTCTTGCCATAGGGTACCTCACAACATGGTAGCTCACTTTGCTCAAAGCAAATGAACAAGAACATGAGAGAAGCTATACAAGACAGAAGCCATGTCTTGGAGGTGACATCCTATCACTTTTGCTATATCCTGTTTCTTAGAAGTCAGTTATTAGGTTCAGCCCACTAGCCAAGGAGATGGGATCATTGGGGACCAACTCATAAGCTGCCCGCTAGGGGAGTCAAGTTCGTAGATGGGGACTGTACGTGACAAGCTGTCAAGAGGTCAAGTTCGGTAAGGACCAGGAGCCAATGGTCGCCCTGGCAAGAGCAAGTCTCTGCTGGGTCAGTGTCAGACACCACATTGGATGTGTTGAGGAGTAGGGAAGTAAGAAGGGTAAATTCAAATAGTTGTTTGGAGAGAGAAATGGCTTATGTGTCTTGACCCAAAGAGATGGAAACTAACATGGACCCACTGGATACTATAGTCAACAATTAGATCTAGTGGCCAAAGGTCTCCTTCCATGTTTGAAAGCCATTGTGGCCACTGCCAATTTACTACAACATGTAGAATAGATAATGAAGGTCTCTCCACTGACTTTTCATGTTCCTCATTCAGTGGAAGATTTACTTAACTCATACTCAGCACCTCTCTGCTAGCAGACTAACCTTCTACGAAGTTCTTTCATTGTCTTTATCTAATGTGACTGTTGCTCCCTATAATACTCTGAATTCTACTCTTCTTCCTTTGTTCTCCAACAAAACCTGTCATGACTGCCTGACATTAAGACCAACTACCAACTCCTCAAATTGATTTACAGGAAACACCTCTTGAAAATGCTAAATTAGTTGGGTTTAATGATGGTTCTTACCTGAAATATGAAATAGCCACTATGGAGCAGGCTGTGCAGTTGTCTCAAACTAAGACCACTGAGGCCAGTTCAATGCCTTAGGGAATTTTTGCTCAACAAGCAGAGCTCTATGCATTAATTTGAGCTTGCAATTGGCCAAAGGTAAAACAGCTAACATACATACTAGAGCAGGTTCACCGTTGGTATTACCCATGACTTTGGTATGCTCTGGAAACATGATTCTTGACTTTTTCCAGACAAAAGATAAAAAGCAGTTCTTATGTTCTACAACTCTCAGAGGCTAAATCTTTAGCAATCATAAAAGTCCTGAACATTCATTGGTAATCACAGAGGAAAGCAAAGGTAATCACTTGGCTGACACTGCTGCTAAGTTAGCAGCATTAAAACAATATCAACCCCCCAGTGGAAGCACTTATGCTACCAACTGAAGCAACTGGAGATTTAAAAGATATGGAAGCACAGCATTTAGATGTTCAACAAAACAAAGTAATGATTAAAACAAGGCTGTAAATTTGACCTTGAAAGAAACTTACCGGTAGGTCCCAACAGTGACCCCCTTCTCCCTGATTGCCTACAACATCACATATTACATTATGTATATGAGTTAACTCACTGGAACCCTGACAAATTGGTTTCTTGGGGAAAACAGTCATGTTAGAAGTCATCTCCATTTTCAATGATTTCATACTTTTTTTTTCTCCCAGGAAGTCTGTACTGTCTCAATGATAACAGACCAACGATGTATATCCTAATGGTTGATCATTGATGCTTTCTAAGGAAAATCTTGATCAAAAAGAGGAAATGTGAAATGTAAACAGCAAAATGAACTTGATATTGTCAAGAGAGCAATCTAAAATGGAGCCTTGCAATAGATGTAAGAAATTAATTTTGTGTAGCTTAGTATGTCTGCTTGTCTCCACCAATCACAGTTTTTTTCAAAGCAACTTGTGTAACCCCTTTGGGTACCCTCCTTTTTTTTTCTCCTTATAATCTCTGTTCCTTTAGCTCCCCCTAGGAGTGTAGTTGGATTTCCACCCAAAACTGTGTCTCCAGATTTATAATAATAAAAAAAATCCCACCATATCTTTTGTTTCCGTTTTAGTTCTCAAAGTTAATTGACACCCACTAGGGCCTGCAATAACCTTTACACAGCATCTTTTCCCACCACATATGCCTCTAATATCATAGGGTCAGTGAGTCCTATGGTCTGTGGGACCGCCCTTTCTTGTTGTGAGCCTCACTCAAAGCTGGAAGCCTTTTATGTCATGCAGACATGTATAGGCCAGAGCAGTAGTCCCAGGTGTAGAATATACTGCCTCCAGTACCCAAAGAGTGGGTTCTGGCATGGTACTCCCTTTTTTTTTTTGATGGGGTGTGCAAGATGCAATCATTTGTCTTTTGCTTTGGGAGAGATATGCCCCAGACTATTAGACCCCTACAAACTTCATAGGTGTGGCAAGTCCCCAACATGGGGTTTATCTTTTGTTTTTGGGAGCAAAAATGATTCATTAAGTCTTTATTTATTTGTTACTTTTTGTTTATCCTGCCAGATCAGCAAAATGTGATTGATACAATAAACCAGTGCAGTATATTGCAAAACAACCAGACAGCCAGAGCCGTTCAGAGTATATTATGACAAAATGTTGGAGAGTGACCATAGACCTGGGTCAAGATCCTGCTGTTCCTACCTGTGAATGCCAGTGGTTTGTGATAGGGAAGGTTAGATCAAAGGCTACCCTCCTGAGACCATGTTAATCTGTGTTAGCCGTGATGGTAGCTGTGATGGTAGCACAGCAGCTGTAATTAGGGCCAGTACTTGATTGCAATCCACTACCAATCTCTATTTTTTTGAGGCCAGGCTGATGGATTAAATAGGGATGTGATGGGGCCTGACCCTTTCCACATGTTTTAGGTTTTTAAGGGTGGCACTAATTTCTGCCATTTTCCCCTGGTATGGGATATTGGGTTTTTTGTTTGTTTTATCCTTACTGGAGGGCTTTTTTTTTCCTTTTAGAGAGGAAGGTAGAAAAAGAAACATCAGTGAGAGAAAGATCAATTGGTTGCCTCTAGTAAATGCCCCCACCAGGGATCAAACCCAAAGCCTAGGTATGTGCCTTGACTGGGGATCAAATTGGCATGTCATTGGTTTATGGGATGATGCTCCAATGAACTGAGCAAGGCAGGATATTGTTTTTTATTTATCCTGGTTGGGGAGGGGGGGTGAGGGGAAGTGTCAGGGACTCTCACTTTACTTTCACTTCTATGAAAACTGTTACCGCTCAAACCAAGGAACCGAAGTGGGCATTCTGCCAGTTATCCCAGTGATCTATTCAGCCTCCTGGCTACTGCTTTGACCTCAATGGTTATATGGTGATTGTACCCACTTTGCTCCTAACAAGCTGAGCACTACCATCTTGTTTCTACTATTTGGGCACCCCCATTGCTATCAGTAAACCAGTTCTGTAGAAGGACCTCCCTGTGCCAGCCGTGGATGAGAGAAGATGACCACCCCAGAACCTGGTGTAGGGTAAGGAACAGAACCTGGAAGTCAGGTCTTTGTTTATTAAACTATTACTTTTTGGAGTTTTTTGATGCTTTACTATGTCTTCTGTGTGGTAATACTATAGTGAAGTAGCCACTGCCTGCCATGAACGGAGGGGGTGAAATAGAAAACCCTCGGTTATTCTACAAATAAAATCTCACAGAAGCCTACATGTGGACCTCAAAATTCAGAGTATAAAATGCAGAATTGTGCATTGTGATAGTAATAGCACACTTTTTTTTTCTCTCAGGAAGTTGTACTGTCTCAAAAAGCATAAAAGTTAAAAATGGAGGGTAGTCTGGTCACATTTACTCCATTTCTCCTCTGGCACCTGGTAGGAAAGAGCTTTCCTGCTCTTGGAAGTTAGAAGTGGCCCAGAACTTGCTTTTACCAATTAAATGTGGTTTGGAGTGATGTGTGTAACTTCTTGGCAGAAACTCTATTTGCTGACCTTGACTCCCCACAGCTCATTCATGAAGGCAGGTGTGGGCATGGAGCACAGCCTATGCAGGCTGACACAGAAACTGTGCATTCTGGCCTAGGGCCAGGCTGGGACAGTCCTAGATAAACCAAGTCCTAATTGGTCACAGGGTGGTTACGTTCTAACTCTTCCCATTTTTAATTTAACTTAATTTAATTTTTCTAAAGATTTTAATTTTAGAGAGAGGGAAGGGAGGGTGAAATGGAGAGAAACCTCGATGTGAGAGAGAAACATTGATCAGGTGCCCCTCGCACCTGCCCCATCTAGGGACTGAACTCACAACCCAGGCATATGTCCCCACTGGGCATCAAACCAGCAACCTTTCGCTTTGTGGGATGATGCCCAACCAACTGAACCACACTGGTTAGGGCAATGCTTCCTTTTTTAGAGCAGGACCTAAGTGAAGAACAGGGCCCAATGTTCTTAGGTCAGAGTTGCTCAAGAAACCAGACATGCAACAAGCCAAGAAGCAGGGTTTTTTAGTGGGGAATAGGAGTGAACGTGGAGCCAACCAAGGGAGGTTAAGACTTGTTTGGTTGTTTTTAGGGCAGAGTTTTTAAGCACAAAAACCCACGAAGGTTAACTGATTGGGGTATCAGTGTCTGACTGGCTAGAGCTGGTTGCTGGGTACCATTTCTGTTGACCATTGTTCTTGATACATCTTGTCAGGCTCAAGTTAAAGCTGCATCCTGTTATGCCAGATAGGCCCACCCTAGACCCCAATCTTAGCTGGGCGTCTGTTTGTCCTGGGTAGGGTTAGCAGGCAGTTTCCCAGGCAGGCATTTTCCCATACTACACTTTCCCACTGTACATACAGTTTTCCCACCTGGTGATTTTCCTTTCTCCTAGTCCTGCCTAGGTCTGTCACATGTCATTCTAGCCCAACTGTGAGGCAACTTTTATCATGGGATGTGTATCTTGAACTCACTGTGGTAAGTGGGTCTCTAGTACTTGGTTGCAATCCACCATTTGCATGAGGCACTGAGTCAGCCTCAAGACATACAGGGAATGTGATAAAGCACAGTTCTGTCATCCTGAAGCTGAGAGTCTGATGGGGGGAGGTGGCGGGGGGGGGGGGGGCTTATGACTGGGAAGCAAATAAATGAATATAATGTTAGTGAGATGATCCTCATAAAGAAAGAAGGGTATTATGTGACAAAGACTAGACAACTACTTTAGCTGGGATGTCAGGAAGGGTGTTATGTGACAAAGAGCCAGCCCCAGGCAGTGAGCAGATGTGGGGACCCGCAAGCAGGCATACTTTTGCTATAGTCAAGGAAGAGAAACAGAAACCACTGTGGCTTGAATGAATGGGGGTGGGTGGGTGAGAAATGAGAACTGGAGGCAGGAGATGGGGGGAGTGCAGGCCATGAGGGGTCAGCGTGAGAAGAGGCAGGAGAAAACAGCATAGGTGTCAGGAAGCCAGGGACAGGGAAGGCTTCATGAAGGAAGTTGACTGAAGAATTGTTGAAGTTAGAAATGTAAGTAGGAGCCGTTCAAATTCCACCTCTAGGCTGTGTCATTCCCTATTTACGTGGCTTTGGGCAAGTTATTTAACGTCTCTAAGCCTCCTATTCCTCCTTCGTAAAAATGAGAGTAGTAGTTTAATAACCGCCCTGCAGTGTTGTGAAAATAAGTGCCTGGAACGTGGGTGGTGCTCAATAACGCCAGTGCACTTTGTTGGAGGTCGTCCTGGCAGTGGCGCGTAGGTGGAAACGCATCATTCGGGGGCGGGGCTGTCCCTACTCGACCTTCCTTGCTTTTGTGACCACAGGTCATCAGGCGGGACTGCCCCCTATGCTCCTCCTCAGACCGTCAGGCCCTAGTCCAGCCCGGAGGAGGATCGCTAGCTAGAGCGAACTGGTCCATTGATAGCTGTGGACAGCTGGTAGGCGCGGGGGCCGGGGTGGGGGGGGGTGGGGGGCGGTTGGAGAGGTTGGAGAGGTGTCAGCGTCCACGATCCCGACCGTCTTCTGGGGAAGAAACGCAGCTGCTTCCCAGCTCTGCAGGGGCTTCCAGTCCCCTCTCGCGTGCTGTCTCTTTAAGAGTTTCCGGCTTACTAGGCATCTGATTGGCTCTGCTGAGTGGGCCCTCTTTTCTATGGAGCACCATTTTATAGGATATTGGGGGCTGGGGTGGGCCCGAGTGCTCCTAGTAGGGATCTTGGCTTTTTTTTTTTTTTTTTTTTTGCAGTTTTGGCTGATCTGAAAGGACGCACCTTCCTTTCCGGGTTGCCTCTGTGGAGAAGAGCCGCACGGTGTCCTGGGAGCCAGTGAGGCCAGCTCACTGACCTCGCCTCGCCTCCCTCTCCTAACTCTCATTTCTGCGGAGCCGGCTGCCCGTGGCTCTTGCGACGTTCCCGGACCCCAGCCGCCTGTCTGAGGCGCTGGAGGCCAGAGTCCTGCAGCCTGTGCAGGGTCCGCTCATTAGTGGGCGCGAATGGGTGACGTGGCGGGGCCTGAGCGTGGCCCGGGTCCCTCAGGTACCAGGGGCCCTCTGCTCCACAGCACGAAACCCTACCGAGGGGCTGCTACCTTTACTCCAGAGAGGTCCCCGGCCTTTGCTGTACCTACAGCCCTTCCCCGACCCTTTCCTGGGGAGTAGGCCCTGGAGTCTGGGTGCATCTAGGATCTTCCCCTGGCAGTTGTGAGGGAGCCCGGATCTGGCTGGGAACCCCGTCTCCATCACCACAGCTGGACCAAGGCCCCTGTCCCTGTTCCTTCCTCAGTGGTGTGATCACTTCCTGCTCATGTCACAGCTTCAGAGAACACCCTTAGGGAAGTTTCAGAAGGCCAAGGGGGCCCCTGGGTGTGAGAACTAAAAGGAAGAGGAGTCGAGGTAACTGGGAATCCCATGGGGGATGGGAGGGAAGGGAAAGCCCTGGGATTGGTCAGTGACCACACATATAGCAGCACAGGCCCAGGGCTGTGGCTAGTGAGCAGGGCATGCTCACCCTGCAGCTTGAGGCTGTGCTGGAAGAGATATAGGCCAAGACACCCTTACATCTGGGCCTGTGTCCCCATCTACTAACAGGGTAACAGAGCCTGCCTCCAGCTTTGTTGTGGCATTCAGCAGCCTGAAAGGGGCAGTGGAGCGTTGTTTATGTGCTGAGGCTGCAGTCCTTTCTAGGTTTTGCTGTTGCATGAGGGGCTCTCTAGAAGGCTGGAGAATTCTGCTTCCACAAGACTAGGAGGAGGTGGGGAGTGACTATGCCTTTCAGTCTGTAATGGGGATGGGGCTCTGGGGTCCTCTCAGATGGTTCCTTCTCTCCCCAGAAGGGCTTAGCTGCACTGTGCTGGGGATTCAGTTCAAATCATAACATTTGTTGAAAACTAATATTGTGTGTGGCCCTGTTCTAGGCGATTGGGTCATGAGCACACCTGGGTGGATAGGCAGTAAACAAATAAATGCACAGCTAGGGCCACTTCAGACAGAGGCCAAGTGCTGTAAAGAAAACACAGGGTGGGCTAGCTGTGAGAGATGGTTAATGAGGGCTGCTCTGAGGAGGTGGCCGGAATGGTGAGGCAATGCTGGAAGAATAAGCTTGGAGAACGAAATGAAAGCCAGGGGTTGGAGAGTGGAAGAGAATATGGCAGAGCAGTAGGCAGGGGTAAAATCAGGTTGGGCCTTGAAGGCTAGGGAAAGGGCCCAGGGCTCCTCTGCCTCTTGTGGGTTCTGGGTTGGGCTGCTGGCAGTTTACTAGGAGTTGGCTTCTCAAGGATAGTGTCCACCAAGGCTAAGGGGTTTGAAAGCTCAACAACCTGCTAGGGTTTGGAAGCACTGTAAGGCGTAATAGCAACTATAAAGAAGTGTAGCCTCTCGGCTTTCTGATTTCTCCATCTAGTAGGGGTTGCTCCAGGGCACTCAGCATCCCAGGACTACTTCCTTTGAGAATCCCCTTCCCCATTTCTCTGGTCTGGTCTCCACTTCTTCTCTTGTGTTCTCTAGCCTTCCCATCATTCCTATTCTTAAGCCTGCAGACCCCTTCCCTGTCTCTTCAGGGCTTGTGACCCCAAGCCAGGAGCCCAGGGGCGGAAATGTGGGGCAGCAACTTTTTTAAATTGATTTTTAGAGAAAGAAAGGAAAGGGAGGAGGAGGAAGAGAGAAAAATCAATTTGTTGTTCCATTTATTTATGCATTCATTGGTTGATTCTTGTATGTGCCCCAACTGGAGATTGAACCTGAAACCTTGGCATACTGGGATGGCACTCTAACCAACTGAGCTACCTGGCCAGGACCTGGGACAGTAACTTAACTCCTCTACGCCTTTCCTTTCCTCTATAGAATGGAGACACTAGGAGTTTAGAGGCTGGTGTAATGGTTAAATGTGTTACAAAATGTAAAGCACTTGGCCCCATGTCTGCACATAATGTTCATAGTTTCTTTCTTTCTTTCTTTCTTTCTTTCTTTCTTTCTTTCTTTCTTTCTTTCTTTCTTTTTTTAAGATCTTATTTATTTATACTTAGAGGGAAAGGAAGGGACAAAGAGAGAGAGAAACATCGATCTTGCATGTGCCCCAGCTGGGGACTAGGCCCAAAACCCAGGCATTTGCCCTGACTGGAAATCAACCAGTGACCTTTTGTGGGACAATGCCCAACCAACTGAGCCACATCAGTCAGGGCATGTTTTATATTTTCTTAAATCATAGCTTCAGTTAGTTATTTTATGAGCTTTTGTAAGAATGGCAGTTCTGGTGTGGGTGACGGCCTTTTAACTCAGAGCAGTGGCACCATCAGGTAGTGTGTTAGAAATGTGAACTGTCAACCTGCCCCCCAAGCCTGCTAGAGCTGAACAGCACTCAAGTCTGAGAAGCACAGCTTCTCATCTCAGGTAAAGAAACTGAGGTCTGGAGAGGGTCACCTGGCAAGTTGCTCTTTGAGATCCTGGGCTCTGGAGACAGATACCATGAGTTGCCCTGTAGGTGATTACCTGTCTCTGAGATCTGTACTTCTCAGGGAGGATAATATAAGTACTTCTCTAGGACAGTCGGAGGGCTAAGGGAGTGTTCTCTGCTGTTACTGAAGAATTAGCTGGGGAATTGGAAGGAAGTAGCTGACATTCTCATTCGTCACCTCAGACCCTGTAGTACAAGTGGATTTGCAAGGGGCCCTTGGACCTGTGACTGAAATTCTCTTCATGACCTTACCGGTCCCCCACCCCCTGTGCTCTCTTGGGAATAAAAGCAGCAGCTAGCTTTGTGTGTGTGACCTTTTTGTAGACATTTACTTCTTCAGTCTTATTTGGTCCTTACAGCAACATTGTAAGGTGGATGTTACTGTCCCTCTGACACTCAAAGGGGAAGTGACTCACACAGGGTCATATAGCAAGTTCATGTTAGAGCCAGAACTGCGACCATGTTTGCCCAACTCTATAATTTGTGTAGCTTGAATTTTTTTAGTGGTAAATTCGAGAAATCAGATTCAAACTGGCCTGAGCAGAAAATGGAATTTTTAGATTTTATAACTGAAAAGTCCAGGGGGATAACTAGCTTCAGGTGTGGCTGGATCCATTAGGATCTGTCTGCAGAATCTATTTCCATCTGTCTCTCAGCTATACATTTCTCTGTGTTGGTTTTATTCTCATGTGGGTCTCATATATAGGGTCAGAGTAATACAGGTCATGCTTACTGCTTTCAGCAGAAAGTGTGTATCTTTCCTAGTTATAGCAGAAGACTCAAGGCTGATTCTCATTGGCTAGGACAATGAGCATCCTAATTGAGCAGGTTTAGATCACATGCACATTCACTGGAGTTGTGAAGGAGTAGAGTCAGCTGTACCTAAACTATAGGGATAGATACTGGGGGAGCTGAAGTGCCCCCTCAGGAAAATAGAGTGTTGGGCAGGCAAAACCAAGAGAAGCTCCTTCTGAGCCTTCCCACTCTGGACTCGTCCAGCTACCCCATGCTCCTTGCCCATTTTTCATCCCCCCTGGTTTCTCTTTGCTACAGGGGACTTTAAGCTTCCTTGTGACTCCTGGGTGCTTGGCCTGCCCCTGCTGGGGCTGCTTGACATTCCCTATGCCAGAGCTGGTGTGGGGGCTAAGTCCAGAAGTTTGGTCCATATGGAATGGGGCAGAAGGGGCTGTGGAATCTCTCTCCTTGTCTTACAGTCACTTCCAAGTTATCTCAGGTCACCAGAAATCTTGAGGGAGGTGGCGTATCCCCTGCCAGCTGTAAGCTCCCTGTGCTCAGCTTGGTGGCCTAGTCCTCAGATGTGTGCAGCATGGCCACAGTTAATACCTCAATAGCCATATACAAGTTCAGAGAAGGGGGCTTTTTTCCTTGGGAGTGTTTGCTGGTCAGGGAGGAACACTTTTCTCAGGAGACTCCACAGCTGACATTACATGTTCTGCCTAACAGCTGCTGACAAGGAAAGTGGGCCCCCCTTCTTGACTGACCAGAGCTTCTCTGTAGTGCACTATCAGCCAAAGGGAGGACCATCATTTATTTGGTAGACTGTCTCATGCATTGCAGTACATTCAGCAGTCCTGAACTCTGTGCATGAAAAATATGTAGCACCCTGCCCCTGAAGTCCCTGTATCAAACTAGAGCACCTGTGCACCCTGCTGAGGTATCCAGTATTGCTCTATACAACCACTGACTTACACTCATTGAGGTTCAGCTTCTGATGTTAGAGGGGCCCTGCCCAGAGTGTAGGACATCATAGAGGGGCACCCTGGAACAAAATAGCAGCTTGTTAGCAAAGAAGTAGGGGGTAGTGTCTGATGGAGATGCCATGGGCAGTCTTGGCCTCTCAGCTGCTAAATAACCAGGAGCTCAGGCCAGACACCACGTCTGCCTTCTGCGTGTCTGTCAGCAGGTCTTGTGTTCTAACTTCCCGAAGGTATCCTGCATCCCTCCACTCTATCCCACTGCTACCTCTAGTGAAGCCACTATCCTCTTGTGCCCAGGCTGGAGCCGTAGCACCTGGGTCTCTCTGCTTTTACTCTTTCCCTGCTTTTAGTGCATTGTCCACAGCAGCTGAGTGATCCTCTCTACAGGGAAATGGGATGCTGTCACTTGCTTTTGGAACACCCTCTTTGGGGCATTTAGAATAAAATCACATTGCATGTGGTCATGTGGCCCTGTCTGATCTGACCTCACCAACGTTTCTGATCTCATGTCCAGCTACACCGGCCTGTTTTTTGCCCTTTGAACAGGCCAAGCCTGTTTCTATCTCAGGACCTTTGTGCCACTCTCCTCTGCTTGGTATGCTTTTCGTCCAGATTATTCCAAGGCTGGCTCCTTCTCAGTTATTTGGATCTCAGCTCAAATGTCTTGCTGCCTGACAGCTCAATCTGAGGCAGCACACCTTTATGTTCCCTGGGATTCAGGCTTAGCTGTTGAAACAAAGGCTGAGATAACATGATTATTCATGTCTGTTGAGTGATAGTCTGTGTGCAGTCTGTTCAGGACAAGAATAGAGCCCGGTCATGTCTGGAACCCAGACACCTTTCTTATTGTTCTGTTATCCTCAATATGTGGCTTCTGTCTTGTGATCTAAAATGGTTGCTCTTGTTCCTACCACCACATCCACATTCCAGCCAATTGGAAGGGAGAAGGGCACAACCTGAAATTGGCAAACCTTACTATTCTCATGTCCACTTGGATAAAACTTGTTTGTGTGGCCACGGCCCTGGGAGAGTGGCCATTGTTCTGGGAAGGCAAGTGCAAGCTAAAATCCAGGGACTCTATCACTCCAGGAAAGGATGCATGTTGGGGATTGCAGCAGTCTCTACTGTTTACCATCCTTCTGTCCCACACTTATGTGCTCTTCTTATCTCAGCACTTATCTCTAGGACAAGTTTGCTTTTAAAGTATGGGCATTTGTACTGGCTGTAGGCCTCCCCTTCTAGAATGAAGATCATGTGGGGGCACTTGTGTACCAGCACCTGGACTTCTGCCTGGCTCACAGTAGGTACTCTGCACCTCCTATAGGTGGTGAAGAATGCATGAATGAGGGAAGGGGCGGACTTCTTTGCTTTTCTTATTAGTAGATAACAAAGAAGGAGCCAACTTTTTTCTTTGGACCTATTATGTGTCAGGCATATGTTCTCTTTAATATTTTTCACTGTTGATATGTCCTCAAGTTGCAGGTGGGCATGTGATCTCAGAGCCAGTCATTGGCTTGTGGAAGAGAGGGATGGAGGGGCTTGAGCCCCAGGTCTTAGCCTAACCTTTTGGAATCTTCTGTCCCTTTAAGCCGGAGGTAGCACTTTTGTTTCATGGCTGTAAGAAAAAAATGAGGATGTCCCTGCATCCCCTCCAGCTCTGCATTGGGCCTGCTGTTGTTCAGGGATGGTGTTAGTGACAGATAAGCACTGGTTCCTGTTGCAGTGCTGCAAATCCTTCTTTCCAACAGGTACTAAGTATCCTGGACTGCTCCTTCCTGAGTGGGAGACCTGTGCTCTTGGTGTGCAAAAAAAATCTCAAGTTTTTAAATATTTACTGAGGTGTAACCCATACAGACAAGTACACGAATGATAGGTCTATGAGTCAATGTATTAAGATAGAGAGCATGCCTGTACACCCACCACCATCACCCAGATCAAGCAACTAGAAGCTGGTGTGCCTCCCTCCACTCCTCTGCCCGCTATCCTCTACAAAGGTGACTTTTACCCAGCTATGTGCCTGGGGTCAGACTGCATGTCTGCCCCTGTACATGGCTCCCTCGCATTCATATCTACGAAGCCCTTTCATGTTGCTGCCTGTAGCAATAATCCATTCTTTTTATTTCTGTGCAGTATTCCACTATTTGTGCAAACTGCTATTGTCATGAGGCTATTATGAACATACTCAGAAGTGGAGATGTGGGTCATAGGGCCCAGTCTGTTCAAGTTATCATTTTAAATGCTGGCATCTGTTACATCCTGGTGACCAGGCCATACCTGACTCACCTGCCCTAAGCCCCCCGAGTTCCCCGTGGAAGTCTCTGCCACTGTCACTGCAGGACCAGCTCTATTGTTACCCAACCTGAGTCCTGGGACCTGCAAGCCTGCCTCAGTAGTCAAGGGTGGCTCCAGGACTCTAAACTACTAGGTCTCTTGTCTTCCAGGCTGGACTTGGACCTCTCATTTTCAGATCATCACATGGGCGCTTGACTGTGCCATCCCCTTCCACTCACACTGCCTCAGCAGTTCCTTCTACCTCCCTTCACAGTACCTCCTCTTCCTTCACCTTCTCCACTTAGAGACCTCCATGCATCTTCCAGGGACAGTGCAAGTGTTCCCTCTATTTGTGTCTGCCTTTCCAGGTTAGGCAGCAGAGGGAGACAAAGGCTGAGGGCCACCTGAAGTGTGCACGATACCCTGCTCTGGCACTTGGCAGCTGTGATTGCACTTCACCTCCAGATGGGTTCTGCATGGTTTTGGGGGATTGGAGCTGAAGCTCAGCTACTCAGGATTTAATGTGTGTGGGTTGTTGGAGGCACTTGATGTACAATATCGCAGCATGGACATTATTGTTACCCCCATTCCAGGGGTGGGAAACTGAGGCACAGGATGAACAAGGAGGTAAGGGGCAGGTGAACCCTGTCTTTCCCCAGCCCCCCAGGATTGGAGGGACTAACTGGGGTGATGCCAAGTAGCTTGCATTGCTGTGCCTGGCACGGGGGCAGGCTCAGTCACTGGAGGGGGCATTCTTTTATTGTTTGGGGGTCACAAGACAGCCTGAGACAAGGGACTGGGTCACTGTGTAGGGGTTGGGTTGGTTTGGGCCATGTATGGGAGTGCCATATCTCACCTCCTGCCTGGTGTGATGGGGAATGGGCAGCCCCTCTTGTATACCACTGGGAGCCTTAGACCCAGAGGCCCAGGACTATACAGCCTCTGTACTGCTAACATGGTGGCTCTCACTCCCCAAGGCCAGCTGCTGGTGGGATGGAAATCCTGCAGGAGGTGATATGGACCAATGGGAGCACAGTGCTGCCCCAACCTCTGGCTCCCAACATCAGTGTGCCACATCGCTGTCTGCTGCTGCTCTACGAGGACATTGGCACCTCTAGGTAAAGCAGTCACAGCCTTGTTGGGCTAGTTGACTATGTGTGAGTGGGTTTTCCTGGTGTGTGTGTGTGTGTGTGTGTGTGTGAGAGAGAGAGAGAGAGAGAGAGAGAGAGACACAGAGAGAGAGAGGGAGAGAGAGAGGTGGGGATAGAATGCAGACATGTCCTCACTGGTGAGCTGGTTTCTATACCTGTCCACTAGGGTCCGGTACTGGGACCTCTTGCTGCTCATCCCCAATGTGCTCTTCTTCATTTTCCTGCTCTGGAAGCTTCCATCTGCTCGGGCCAAGATCTGCATTACCTCCAGCCCTATTTTTATCACCTTCTATATCCTGGTGAGTTTACTCCAGTTGGTGACAGAAGACCCAAATCCAATTGGCTTTAACAAAAAAGGGAATATTAACTGCCTCTGTAATGAAAAAGCAACTTCAGGTATGGCTGGATCCAGGGGATTAGGTGATGTCATCAGGACTCTTATCTCTCTGCATCTCTGCTCTCCTCTGGCCTTATCTCAAATGAGTTCTCCCCATATGGTGTCAAAGATAGCCAAGAGCAGCTTTGAGCTAATATCTTACCTCCCTGCCAACTCTAGCCAAGTACCTCCAGTGTACACCTGGACTTCCTTCTGATTGGCCCACATTGGATTCTGTGTTCAGCCCTGAGCCAATTACAGGGACTAGATGGGAAAGAGATATTTTGGAGTTGGGAAGTTGGGTTTAGCTCAGCCAGACCAGCAGAGGATAGTGGTGCCTGGAAGAAAATTGGGAACCATTACTAGAGGGAAGATAAATGGAGTCTGGATAGGGGAAAAATACCCACTAAACCTCCATCCATCTGTCCATCCATCCATCCATCCATCCACACATTCTGTGAGACTCTTTGGAACAGACTTCCTGCCTATTGGGAGAGCCTATATTCTCCTTATTCAGTGGTCTTGGTGGATGTTACCTAGGGAAAGTATGGCTGTGGTTGAGTAGGCAGCCCCAGGTACAAGTCCAACATGTAGGGTGTCCAGCTCGCTGTCTTCAGGGCTCAGGCCTGACTGATAGGAGTCCTCCCCTCTGTGCCTCTTAGCTATCACTACATGAGAGCCAAGTGGCTCCCTGGTCTCCTTCTTGTGGCCTGAGTCAGAACTTCCCAGTCAGAGGAGTGGGTAGTGGGTAGGCAGAGAGGCAGGGGAGGCTGTTGGTGATCTCTACTCTTGTGAGGTAGTATTGAATAGGGATGGGGATCAAGGCCTGCTTTCTTCTCTTTCCTCTCCCACAGCCTCTCTGACCATGTACTTTTTTGTGTATTTGTTCAACAAATATTAAGCACCTACTATATGTCAGGCAGATGCTCTTTCTGGGAGAGCAGGCAGGGAAAGGGGACCCAGGGCCAATTACCAGGAACATGAGGCAAGGCAAGGGGAATCAGCACTGGCCCTGCCCTCTTCCTCTTGAAGACTTTCCATGGAGAGGAGGCAACAGTAAGTGTGCACTTAGGTAGACTACCTCCAAATTCCAGCTGTGCAGAATGAGACTTTGGGCCAGTGGCTTGACCTCTTGGTGCCTCAGTACCATCCTATATGATGTGTGTTGGATTTGATTTTGCTTGTGGCACTCCTGTGACCTCCACATGACAGTGTGCACAGCTCCTGCCCAGTGGTGGCTTGGCATATGGTAGGCACTTGGCAGTTTGTTGCTTCTGCAGCCTGCCCTGCTGAGTGGTATAGGCCTCCCCAAGTCTTGGACATGGCTTTCATGGCACAAAGGACAGAGTATGTGTATGAATGTGGGCTCTTTTATTTGTATCCGTCAGAATACCAAACTTAAAACCCACAGAAGCCAGAAGAAATATACTGACTGAGCAACTAATAATCCCAGGGTTTTGGGTATGGCTGGATTTGGAAGTTCAGTAATGCCGTTCAGCACTATCTCTAGCTCCTTCTCAGCTTGGTATCTTTCTGATGGCCCTGTCTCTAGCAGTCTCCTCCCTTTTGGCAACCAGGCAGCCCAGCAGCTCTGGGCTTGCATCCCCTCAGCTTCCTTTCCCAGTGATTGCATCTGATGTTTTGGCTGAGACTTTTTACTCAATTCCCTTGGGTCCCACCCCCATCCCCAAGTCAGTGGAATGGCATACAAGAATGGCCGGCCTTAGGTCATAGGTCAGTCCCTGAAGCTAGGAGTAGTGGGGTCAGCCTCTCCCCCCAAACCATGTGAAGGAAGAGGGTGGGAGAAAAATGAGGCTGATACTAGGCTGACAAAAGCCACAGATGCACAGGCACTTCTGAAAAACCTACTCCTGTGCACCTTCCTCGTGAAGAGGGTCTGTGATGCCTCTTCTTTGTGGCCTGCTTTCCTTCAGCCCTTGCATCTCAATTCAAACCATCAATATGACAAGACCAATAGCAGATGGGGACCTTGACCCTAGTGGGTGTCAGGCACACTTTTACATTGATTTACCCATTCAGCCCCCCCCTAGTGATCAGATGCAGTAGGTGCTATTATTACCTCTATTTTATAGATGGGGAAACTAAGGCATGGAGGTACCATTGATTGCCTGAGATCACAGAGGCAGGAAGCAGCAGAACTCGGATTTGAACCCAGTCAGTCTGGTTCTACCATGTCACTAAACTAATCATTCCATAGCTGGGACACTGAGGCCAAAGAGGGGAAGAGCAGGCCAGTGGAGGGTGGTCCCCCCACCTCCTGACTTATTTAGTTTGGAGTCCTTCTACTCTTAAGGAATCAAAACTATTGCAGATGTGAAGTGTGGGTTTGCTGTCCCTGTGATTCCCAGAGGCCTCATTTCCCAACTCCACAACACCCCCCTCTCATCCGCCAGGTGTTTGTGGTGGCGCTGGTGGGCATCGCTCGGGCCGTGGTCAGTATGACGGTCAGCACCTCGGATGCTGCAACTGTTGCTGATAAGGTGTGGCTGGGCCTGTTGACAAGGGGGGTGCTGGGCACTGGGGAGATGGGTGACGGGGACCCCAGGCTGACACTCTACCTACTCTGTGTCCAGATCCTGTGGGAGATTACCCGCTTCTTCCTGTTGGCCATCGAGCTGAGTGTGGTTATCCTGGGCCTTGCCTTTGGTGCGTCTGCTGCTGGGGCCAATATTCTTTCTGCCCCTCCCTGGCTGGGGTCAATCCTACCACAGTTACCTGGACTGAACTCCGCTGACTTACCAGCATGTTTCTTCCAGGTCACCTGGAGAGCAAGTCAAGCATCAAGCGTGTGTTGGCAATCACTACTGTGCTGTCTCTGGCCTACTCTGTCACCCAGGTAAGAGGGGTTGAGTGGGGCAGGGTAGCCTTGGGGGCTCCCTGGAGGAGGCCTACAACCACCAAGGGCCACGTATCCACTCCCTCCTGGTCCTGGGTAAAGGTTTGAATGTTTAGCAGGTGCAGTGTTCTCAAATTTTAAGTATATCTAAGGAGTCACCTGGTGTGGTTATTAGCAAGGCAGGTTCTGGAGGCCCCTCCCAGATTCCCGTGGGGTGGGGTGGGGGAGGGTGGGGGAGGGGAGGATGCCTATCCCCTGTGGTTTTAACAAGCAACTTAGGTAGAAGAATGTAGGTCTACTGAGCCCTGTATCCAGAGGCCTCTTTCTTAGATTGGGACAGGGATTGATCCTTGCCCAGCTCTGTTCCCTGCCTCATGCTAAGGCCTATGCTGGGTACTGGAGCTAGAATGGGCAGGGTTTGGTCAGAGAGCAGGCTGGAGCAGGAACCTCTGGGGGCCAGGCTGGGGCTGGGCTTGGTGTGGTAGAGAGCATCTGGGGCTCTGCATTCAGGAAGGCCACAGGGAGGGGACTTTCTAAGTAGCCGAAGTCTGAGAGACTCTCTCCTGTCTGCCCCTGCAGGGGACACTGGAGATCTTGTACCCTGATGCCCATCTTTCAGCTGAAGACTTTAACATCTATGGGCATGGGGGCCGCCAGTTCTGGCTGGTCAGCTCCTGCTTCTTCTTCCTGGTGAGGCAGAGGATGGGCCTCAGGCCTGGTTGTGGTGGGGTTGGCTGGGTTGGTTGAGGCCTGGCCTAGCTCTGGGCCTGGTGCTCTTCAGCACCCTTCTCAGCCCCTGTCTGTCTCTGCAGGTATACTCTTTGGTGGTTGTGCTTCCCAAGACCCCTCTGAAGGAGCGTATCTCCCTGCCTTGTGAGCCGCTCTGGGACACTGCTGGGTGCAGGGAGGGAGGGGGCAGTCCCTTTTGGACTGCCTGCTGGCTAGCTGGAGAGCCCTGGGTGGGAGGGAGAGAGGGAGGAAAGGAGAGCCAGCCCCCCCCCCGGGCCCAGGGATCCCGGTAAGGCACTTGGAATGAAGTGGGAATGAACTGTGAGGAGAGGGCAGGAGCTCATGCCTCCCACCTCCCAGCGAGGAGGAGCTTCTATGTGTACGCAGGCATCCTGGCGCTGCTCAACCTGCTGCAGGGGCTGGGAAGCGCGCTTCTCTGCGCTGACATCATCCAGGGGCTCTGGTATGGAGGCTGGGGGAGCTGGGACTGGGAGGCCCTGCCCTCTTGGGGAGGTCCCGCCCAATGAGGCTTGCTCTGACCTGCCCCCTCCCCCAGCTGTGTGGACGCCACCACGTTCCTCTACTTCAGCTTCTTCGCACCCCTCATCTACGTGGCCTTCCTCCGGGGCTTCTTCGGGTGAGTCCTCCCACAGGGGCCACCGGGCTGGTGGGCTGGAGGTCTCGGCAAAGCTCGAGCCTTACCCGCCCACTGCCGGGGGTTGGAGGGCTCCGGGAGCCCCCGCGTGGCTGCCAGTGGAACCGCACCTTCTTCCTGTGCTTGTGCACCTGCATGGTATGATGGCCTGTAGGGCTTTCCTGCTCCAGATGCAGAACAGACAAGGCGGAGTGTATATGTGTACACATGTAGACACATAAGTCTATATATATATAGACATATATATATACACATACACACAAATACATGTGCACACATACATGCAGATCTATGCATGCTTGTATATAAATTCATATATGCACACACATATAACCACATATGCATATATACACATAAATAGATATACATGTACATACATGTATCCTTTCTCCACAAGAGAGACTGGCTATGCACATTGTTCTGTGCTTACTGTTTTAATTTAAGAATAGATTAGCTCATTCATTCCTTTAGCACACATTCACTGTGCCAGGCACAGCTGTAGCCACAGGTACAACTGGCAACCAAATATACACATATTCTTATGCTCATGGAGCTTGTATTTTAGCTGGAGGTGACCAGGCAGAGGAGCAGGGTTGGGGGAGTCCACTGTGTATTTGAGCATGGGATGGGGTTCACTTTTGTTCAAATGTGTGTTTGGAGGTATGTTAGGGAGATGGGTTGCTAATGATGTACAGGATTAAGGGTCAGATCCCAGACCTCTGAGGTGGTGGAAGTTCAAGCATTTTTCCCCAACCCCACCCTTCCCCACTTGCCAGGTGGGGTGGAGGAATCTTCCTCCTGAATGGGAAATCTAGGAGAGGGCTTTAGAGGTGGAGTGAGAAGGGCTAGATTGATTGCAGCCTATCCTGGACCTGGCCTCAGGCTCCTGTTTATAGGTTAGGTGGAGTGCTTTCTCCCTTGGAAAGTAATTCTGAGGATTGAGGGATTCATTGAATTGAGAGTGGATAGTTAAAAGCTTCAGGGGTAAAGGTCACAGCCAATATTTACTGAGCACATTGGGCCAGGTACTGTTTTATGCTGTTCACCCTCCATAAAGAGCCTCTGAGGTTGGGGTTGTTGCACCCATTTTGGGTGAGAAAGCAGGCCCAGAACCTTTTACATAAGCACACATAGCCAGGAGGAGGAGGGTTTTAGTCATGTTGGACTCCATAATTCAAGAAATAGGTACCTCAGGTTGGGTGTTGGGCAGCCATTAGTGCATATTCTCCTGGTCTTATGGTCTCATTGCCCAGTGAGGGAGGTCCTTTCTGGATTCAGACAGTAAGTTCCCCTGCCCATCTGTCCTCCCTACCAGCTCGGAGCCCAAGATCCTCTTCTCCTACAAATGCCAAGTGGATGAAACTGAGGAACCAGACATGCACCTGCCCCAGCCCTATGCTGTAACACGGCGGGAGGGTCCAGAGGCAGCAGGTGCTGCCAGCACACATTTCGACTCAGCCGGCGGGGTGTCCTACCTGGATGACATTGCTTCCATGCCCTGCCATATGGGCAGTATCAACAGCACGGACAGTGAGCGCTGGAAGACTCTCAATGCCTAAGTGCGGTTGTCCTGGTTGGAAAGAGTGCTGGGGCCCATGGAGGGCAGATGGAAGAGGAGGTCAGGTAGCACAGAGTCCCTGAAGGAGGAGGATAAGGTCATGAGACCTTGTGGGTGGCAGCAATGTGCAGGCCCTGTTCTTCCCACTGGGCCCCTAGTTCCCCTCAGCCGCCTCTGCTCTAGCTGCCCCTCTCCCTTCCATCTGCCCTTGCCCTGTTCTGCAGCATGGCCCAGACTTTGATCTCCCAGGGCAAGGCTTGGCTAGACTAGCTGAGGGCACTTCTTTTCTCCCAAGGAGAAAGTCTGGGCATCTTGGACTGATCCCCTCCCTACAGCACTTTGGCCTTCTTAAAGCCCACTCTGGTAGGTGGGCTGAAGAGTGTATAGTTTCTTGATATATTTTTTAATAAAAATGAAAAGGAGTAGAAGGTGTTGCTGTGGAGATTCTGCAGGAGTACTGCGACTGGTTCCTTTCAGGAGCTCAAGGGCCAGGGTATTCAGATGTTCTGGCAGATCCTTCTGTATCCTGAGCCCAGGGAGGTCCAACCAAGGAACACTGCTAGCAGGTAGGCCCTGCTGGCTGCTGGGAGGTGGAGTGAAATCTGACCCTAGCCATCCCCATTTGAGTGGAGGAGACAAATGTGGAAAAAGATTTGTGTTTCTGTGGACTTTTTTGTTGCCCTGTTGAAGAGTGTAGGGGTTGGAATAAACTCTTTGGGTCCTGTCCTATCTCTCCTCTTTCTGCTCCATTGACTTGAGCCATCCACTCCTTCCTGCAGTTCCAGTTTTACCCTCTGTAAAAGGGGATAAGAAGCCCTGTCCTGCAAGGATTTTGTAAGGACTAGAAAATAGTGTGAATGACTGGCATTTGGGAATGTAACAATAATGATAGTGTATTGTTTTTAGCCTTTAGAATAGAGCTTGGAATGCAGTAGGCACTCAGAAGACGGGATACTGGGGGATGATATTCATGATAAGAATGGATGCAATGAGGTAAAATGGGGAAAGTCAGAGTAAAACAATGGGTTGGTAAAATGAAAATAAGAGGAAGATTCCATGTGTCCATATTACTGCTGGTGTAGCTAACTTTGGCTTTGAATTGTTTGGCAGCCAGAGGAAGAAGGGAGTTATAATTCTATAATTTCCAGTGTCAGAAAGGAGGAGGTCTTAGCTGGGGCTGGGAGTATTGAGGGTCAGGCCTGGCACTCACCTCCGCTGCTGCCCCTTTTCTCAGGAGTGCATGAGAGCACCGGCTCCAACACAGTTTGTGATAGTGGGAACAATGTGCCAATCTCCCCAGGACCGTGGGCCCAGAGGGCTGACAGTGGCATAGGGATGGCAAGGGCAAAGGCACAGCTGGCTAGCCGGGCTCCCAGTTGAGGGGACCCCAGGGCTGCTGGAGGATCCTGGCAGGATTCTCCACTTGGTACACTTTGCTACAACCTCACAGCATTTGAAGAATCCTGTTGGGTGAGAAAGGAAAGCCTTCAGAGTGTTGGAGGCCACATGGGGCAGTGGTGGGGGCTGACAGTCAAATCCAGAGCTGGGTTCAATATTGGGAGCCTTTGATGCTTATACAATCTAAGACATCATAGTGACAGCCTAGTTTACTCAGTGAGATTACTGAGTAAGCAGCCAAGTCCTCATGGAGGTGTGAACAGAAGAAAAGAGGTAAGTTAGAAGCCTGCTGCTTTTTTGTTCTGACTTGAAAGTTTGTTTGTTTCTTTAAATAAGTAACACATGTAGGTGGCAAAAAAAAAAAGTTCAAGCAACAAGGGTTATACAGTAGGAGGTGAATCTCTGTGACTTTGACATTCAGTTTTCCACCCTGCCTCCCAGAGTCACTGTGAGGCTGGAGGTGGGTGGGTAGGGGTGTCTGTAGTCTTGTGGAAGTAGGTGTATGTGTGTGTGTATTACCCCTGGTTTGAGAATATAAATGCTCTGTAGCTTGTTTTCCCCACTAGATAATTGATCTGGTAGTGATCATTCACTTTGGCAGTGGTATGTATCATTATGGATACGTGGCAATTTATTTAACCAGTCCCCTCAGGATAGGCTTTTGTTTCTAATATATTTGACAACAACAAACAATGCGGCAACAAAAATTATTATAAATAAGCTTTTGGTAACTCATGTAAGTATAATTGTTAGAATACACAATCTTAATTAAATTGTTTTATTTAGTCTTATAGTCTTCTGGCAGAGATTAATAGCCATTTTCCAATATGTACTCTCCTTTTCCTCCACTGTAATAGAATCCCTGATTTTTAGCTGGATACACAGCTGCCTGGAATAAAGACTATATTTTCCAACTTTCCTTGCAGGTAGGTGTGGCCATGTGACTAAGTTCTGGCTAATGGGATGTAAGTGTGCATGCAACTCCCTCAGAAAGAGGGTAAGCCCTGTTTCCTGCTGAACTGGGCTGTGGTTGCAATGGCTGGATTGTCGTGACCGTTTGAATCATAGGGTTATCTTGGGAATGCAAGCCTCCCATGACAGTGCAATAAGATAAAAGGAACTCATGTCCCTGATATGTGGCACATTCATTACAACCCTGGGTTTCCTGCCTTCAGGTGATTTTCTGAACAAGAGCGAGAAATAAACATCTGTCTTGTTTAAATTACTTTGGATTTTTTTTCTTATAGTTGAACCTAATCTGAACCAACACACCTTTCATAAAGGCTGGACTAGTCTAGTTTTAACTCCTGCCAGAACAGCCTGACCAACACTATGTGCTGTTCAAATTTTCCAATCCTCCTGAGGAGCCCTATTAATGTCTGTTCTGCTTGGATCACATCTCGTGTGCTATGCATGGGTGGGAGCAGACATTATGTAGAAGAATGGCCAGGATGTCTGGGTTCTGGCAGCCACAGTATGATGATGGAGTTCACTAAATGTGGCCCAAGTTTCAGTCTTACCTCCTCAATGCTGCTGCTCATGGGCTGTGGACCTTGGGTAAGTCAAATCCTTTCATAACCCTCAGTGTCCTCATTAGTGACGTGAGGTAGCAGATGACTAGTTGCTACCTGATATCCATTTTTCCTCCTTTAGTAACCACACCCTGATGTTTTATGGGTTAGTGAAGCACCCAGGTAAAAGGTACCTCCATTGCAGTCACTCGTGTAAATAAGTTCTGGCCAATGGAATGTTAACAGAAGTAGAAGAGACATTTTAGTAGAGACTGTTTCAAAGGTGCTGACTCAGCTAGATGTACTCTTTTGTTCTGCCTCTCTCCTTTCTGCTTCATGGAATGCAGATATGATAACTGATTCTCCAGCAGGTATATTGGATGATGAAGCGACTTTGGAAAGCTGTTCGGCAAGAATGATCAAATACAGGGGTTCCCAACCCTCAGGCCACAGACTGCTAGTGGTCTGTGGCCTGTTAGAAACCAGGCCAAAAAGCAGGAGGAAAGCAGCAGGCAAGTGAGCTAAGCTTCTTCTGTATTAACAGCTGCTCCCCATCGCTCACTTTACTGCCTGAAGATCAGTGGCAGCATTAGATTCTCATGGGAACATGAACCCTACTGTGAACTGTGCATGTGGGGGATCAAGGTTGCACACCCCTTATGATCATCTAATGCCTGAGGCTGTGATGCTAGCGCTGGGGAATGGCCACAAATACAGATTATCACTAGCAGAGAGGTTTGACTGCACAGAGACCATAATCAATTGTTTGCAGACTCATCAAAACCCTACCAGTGAGCGGCAAGTGACAATTAAGCTACCCCTACCCCAGTCCGTGGAAAAATTGTCTTCCATGAAACCAGTCCCTGGTGCCAACAAGGTTGGAGACTGCTGATCACATAGATGAAATAATATCTATCCTTACTGATAATGGTGATGTTGCACCAGCATTAGACTGCTTCCAACAGACTTCTTTTACATGAAACAAACTATCTTGTTTACTTGTTTACGGCAAACCCAGTCCCAACTGAAACACGTGGGGAAGATGGTATGCCTACCCCCATGGTCATTTAAGGGAGACAGCATAATTTTTCAAAAAAACCTAATTGTGTCTTTTTCTTTCTGAACTTCATCCTTCTCCTATATCAGCAGGAGTTTGGTTTAGGGCATTCTTGCCCAAGGATCTTTGAAGCTGGTGGATGACTTCCTGACTTTGTTTTCAAATGCCTAGGGTTACAGAGGGCAGCAGGGGCTTATGGAAAGAAACAGGTGGGCACTCCCTTGGGAGTGAGGTCTGTGTGACCCAGAGCATTACTCTGTCCTGGCATGGTAATGGTAGAGCCATGTCAAAACAGAGCCTCTGTCCCTGAGGACCTCCATGAGAAGAGTGCTTCTGCTAAGCTGATCAGAACACATCACCAGAATAAAAACTAAACCTTGTCCTTTAACCTCTAATGTGTTTGGGGTTGTTTGTTGCTGCAGTATATCCTGCCTGATGCAAGGGTTAACAGAGATAAGCCACTTGGTACACAGTAGGTGCTCAGTTCATTTGGTTTCCAATAAATAGGGAGAGTAGGACCTCAGCTGGGAACAAGGAACATCTCTGAATTTCCAGCATCATTGTCTCATCTTCTGCCTATGGGCCTCATTTTCATACCTCAGATCATTTTGTCAGTGTCACACACAAGTTGTCCCACCCATTTGTGGCTTCCCTTCCTCAGAGATACCTGGGCCAGGCTTATAACCCAAACACCCTAACTTTCCCCCTTTTTTCAGGTTCCAGCAGCCTCACCTCTTTGGGTATGGTGCCTATGTGACCTTGGGGAGAAGTTAATGCATTGTGGTGGCACAGGCTTGTTTTTGGAGATGGGGACTGTGAAGTTGAGGAAACACTGACATCCATGGGTAGTATTTATTAGAGCATCTCCAGTACCCTGAGCCAAGCCACCTCCTGGAATGCTGACATGGGAAGCATTGTCTTCCTTGACGGTGTTACTGACAAGCTGCCTGGACTTTGCAGTACCAGGCCCTGAGCCCCAGAGAGTCAGGCATGCTCTCTCCTAGGGAGGAGGGGAGTCACCCCTCTTAGAGCATCTAGCTTTCTGGGCTGGTTTCCAACATCACTCAGGTTGCCAGCATCTGCCATCTGGGCTGTCTAGCACCATGTCACTGTGTCTGTGGCAGATGGGATGCTTGAGAGAACTCTTACTTTTCCCTGCAGACCATCCTCCACAGGGCAAGCTGTCCCAGGAGGGCACAGCCTTTCTGCTTCTCTGGGGCAGGCTGTTCCAGGTGGCCACAGCCAGACCAGAGAAGCAGAACCACCAGAATGGGAGCCACAGCCACCAGCAATGTGTGTCTTCCGTCTAGGAAGTGGGTTTGTGGAGAAACAAGGTGTCAGAGATACCCACTTGGTTCTAAGCCCCAGTGAACGGATTGGTGTGAGTGGCCTGGAGCAGATTGGTGGTCTCACTGAGCGGGAAACTGGACCCACATTCCCCAGAACTACAAAAACCGAGACCTAAAGGACATAGGTCCTGAGTTCCTTGTGTCCCTGGGATTTGTACATGGACTCTGCCCCTAGCCCCAGCCCAGTGGGGCAGGGGCAAGGTAAGCCCTTCTGGATTGCATGGGGTTGCTGTGGGTCAGAGGGCCAGTCTCCTTTTAGAGCCAAGTTACCCTCATTCATAGCTGTGGGCCATCCAACAGAGATCATTCTGCTAGAGTCCTAGTAACTAATCTGTAAGACAGGTATTCTTCACTGATCCCCATTTTACAAATGAAGACTCCAAGGCCCAGAAAGCTTGTAGGAAGTGGAGCTGGGAGGTGGGCCTAGAGGAGAGAAGGTATCCACACTGCATCTCCAGTAGCACTGAGTGTGGAAGGTGTGAACTGAAGCTGGTGTCAAATCAGAGAGGAAGTCAGAGCCATTTGGAGGGGCCCTGTGTCAGAATTGAAGGCTGTTTGTCGCTTGGTTATCCCAGGAGATAATGACAGTTGTTTGTCATCCAGAGGACTGGTCTTGGTAGTTCTAAACACTATGTGGGTTACACAGTCCCATGCTATTTAAGACACACACTTCACAGATGAGGAAGCTGAGGCATAGAGAAATCCTATGGCTAGGGCAGGATAAGATTTCTGTATCTACTGTATCCCATGGCCAAGACTCATAGAAATATCTCCTGCATAGAAAAGTTTCCAAGCTTTGCCTCTTGGGGTGGCTGCAGGTGAGGAAACTGCAGCCACTCCACAGCCAGTCTGTGGGTGCAGAGAAAGCCCCAAAGGATTGCCAGGGAGGGGATAGAGAGCTTCCTGGTATTTATGGCAGAGTGGGGTCCAGAATGTACACCTTTTGGGCATGGAGCAGACAACCCAGTTCCAGTGCCAGCTCTGCCTTTCCCTCACAGGTAACCTTGGCAGGGACCCTTGCTTTCTCTACCTTGGTTTCCTCACCTGTAATGTGGCACTGATCAGGCCTCCTAGGCCTCTGTGGAGCTTCTTAACCTAATCCTGTGCAGGGACTGGCACAGCAGCATCTCCATCTAGGGGGTTGCCTAATCTGTTTCTAAGCAGGACCTTGGCAGAGGTCCGGGTGGGGACTGCTGGTGGGAATGCTTTCATGATTGGTCCTGTATATAAGGAGGTACTGCTGGCCCTAAGTGAGGCCAGTGTTTTATTTCTCATATTGTTGGGAGCTGGTGACTCAGCTGAATGTATTCCGCAAATCAAGACCCAGTCACCTGCTGTGAAGAATGTTTAAAGCTGCTTCAGTGAAGCGTTCATTAGGTGTTCTGGGCTGAAGGGCATTCTGGGGAAGACAGGCCTGATTCCAGGTGGAAAATGAGAGAGCCACCCAGGGCAGATGTCCTTCCTCTTGGGCTGGGCCCTCATACTGTGCCCTGCCCCTAGGGTTTGTGTGGGTTGACTGCCCTCTCTCGTAGTCAGTCATTCAAGTAGCCCTCTACCCTAAAAGGTGGCCTTCTGGTAGGCTTCTACTCTTTTCCTCATTCTAATTTCAAACATTTACTCTTATCACCCTCAAAAACACAAGGGCCCAGGGCTTGCTTTAAATTTTTTTTTAATTAGTCAGAGTTTAAATATTAGATTTCTCATACATTTCCAGATATTTGGTTTTTCAAAAAAAGAAAAAAAATCACAAGATGCAACAATCCCAAATTGGGACATTTTCTTCTTAGTTCTGACAGGTCCCCTGACCTGCACCAATTGCCTGTCTTCTGCCTGGTCCCAGTATGTATGAAAATTGAAATATCAGAGAAATTCTAATGGCACAGTATTGAAGTGACATCTCCCAGACTTCATTCCCACTTGTGTCATTCCACAAACATTTCCTGAGCATCTACTGTTTCGAGGTCCAGACACAGCAATCAAGAAAACAAATTACAACATCATATTGTTGTGCTCCTATGACAGCTTAGTCTACTGACAACTCCATTCTCACTTTCATGAACTGGCCCTCCTGCATTCTCAGGGCCCCACCTTTCCCTAGCTCACCAGTGGGTCCAGGCCTAGCCTGTGAAAGGCTGCAGTAATTGGCTCAGGGATGCAAGTGAGATTTGGGCCTAGCCAATCAGAATCACCAAGTTGCTTCTGGACCTTGAGAACAAGATATCTCTTTCTGCAGAGTTGGCTGGGCTGGTGGAATGTTGTCTGAAACTGCTGTTACATCTTTGTTAACACCTTTCTGAGATGAAGCCAGCACAAAGTACAGCAGAGCCAAGATAGGGAACAATGCACAGAAGCGAATACCCAGCGCCTGGACCCATCTCTGTCTGAGTGTGGTCCTGCTGGGTTTCCAGGCACAGGAACCAATGCAGCTCCTTTTTAGCCCAAGCCAGTCTGGATCAGGCTTCTGTGCCTTGTGACTAGAGGAGCCCTGATGAATGTGAATGAAGAGGGAGTTACACTGGGGAGATGCTTGAGGGCCAAAGGCATGGCAAAAGAAACCCAGCTCTGCCACAAGATCCTTTTGCAATGGAAACTGGGTGGGCTTGAAGGGGGAAGCCAGTATTAGTGAAATGAAGGGGGGAAGAGTAGAAGGACATTTTGGGGGGCAGAGGAACCCTATGAGCAAAGCTTGCTAGAATCAGTGTTGATTTTAACGAGAGGACTCCTGGCATCTTGGTTTAAATGGAATCCAACATCTTAGTTGTAATTTTTTTTCTTTTTTGCAAATG